TAAAAATAATAAATGAGAAGTAGACTCTCAGGGTTAAGATTTGTCAAGAAGTATAATTCAAAATAAAATTTAAGAAAATACGATTAATTATAAAAATGATTAGTGCCGACTCTAAACATTCAGAAGTGGTACGTACAGAAAAATACATACTATACGCAAGTAATAATTACTTCTTCCAAGTATTTTAAGAATTCATGTAATTTATATCTATCGTATAAAAGTTTATTAAAAACATTAAGTTTATTCAAAATATATTTTGAATCCTAGTAAGTTTAATACTTTCATCAAGATTATTAAATTAAAATAAATTAATTTGCTTATTATATAAAAGTCGCTTTTCCGATCAATTTTGAAATATTCTTCAAAAGAAAATAAACTCTTGTTATAAATACATAATAATGAGTTTTTTCTAAAATTTATAATAAATACATTTTAAGATTATTATCAAGAAAATATTTTTGCTAAAGATAACTGTTACTTAACAGGGAGAAAATTAATTAAGTAGCCACTTTTCTCAGCAACGAAATGATATTTTTCTGTGTGTAATTGTTAAAAAACCGTGATTTAAGAGCTGCATTCGACAAAAACTAACGTAAGGGTGCACTGACGGGGGGAAATAAATGTGATCGCGTTAGTTGTATCGCGAGTACATAAAATACTAGTGATAAATTTTGCCATCGGCGCGGATGAATGAATCGCGATTAATGAAGCCGCGATTAAGGAATCATAATTGGTGGCAACAGGGAATCGCGCGAAGGTGGAAGAGAAGTAGAAGGAAATAAAAGGCGGAAATGCGTGTGAAGGAGAGAAAAGAGAGAGAGAGAGAAAGAGAGAAGAGAGAGCGGAAGAAGTGAGAAAAGGTGAGAGGCCGCAATGAGCTGAGCTTTTCCACGCTTCCCCTAATTACATTTTCATACGAACCGTTTCCCCTTTATTTTCTCCTCCGCCCTACGACCATTTTTCCCGGAGCTAAATCCCCCACCATCCCTACTCTCCGTCAACGACTGCTACCCTTTTCTTCCGTTTCTTCGCCCTCGTCTGTGTCTTCGTCTCTTTTCCTTCCACTCCCCGATGACCCCTTCCTTCCATCCTCTCGCGCCTTTCCGCGCTGGAAAAACGCTTTAATACATTTTCGTCGCTCGTCGCCGCGCGACGAGAGAAAAAAAGAGAGGGAAAACAAGAGGAATATCACCCTCCGGGTCGCAGTCTCGAAACGCGTCAATTTCCGCGACGCGCGTACAAGTCCCGCATTAAGGGCGCATTAAGGAGCGCATTCAGCAATGCATGGGTTCTGAAGCGGACTGTCTGAGTTCTAAAGTGTGAAACGGATTCTGAGTTCTAAAGTCCGAGAGCCGAGAGCCGAGATTACTATTGCACCGAAAAGACGCACTACTCGCTAGAGAGTTCGATGTTAGTTTTAAGCCAGTTTCCGAAGTCAGTTTCCTCGTCATTTATCGGCACTCATCATTACGCGATAATTACATTTGCGTGGACAACTTTCTTTACATCATAACGTCATCGTGAACGCGGTGATTATCACATCTCACCCTTCATTTCCACATACTCGGGCTTTAACGTTCTCAAGAAGTCTCCGTATATACTCTTGAAGTAAGAGATAATAAAAAGATAAATGTATTGCTTGTTATATCTTATTGCTTTCTTTCGCAGCGACAAAGTATACCTTTGACCCACCGTTATTCTCGACGACGAAGCGCCACAGCGACGGACGATTTTTGTCGTCGACGAGCGTGCTCACCCTCCGTACGTTACCACTCGTATATACCTTCATGTATATTCAGCGCACGCGACATAATCGCTTTAATACATTTCCACTGCGTCTCCTCGCTGCGAAACATAAAAGCGGTCATCCCTGTAAAAGTTCGGGGGATAATACTTACTAGCGCGTCGACGCCTTACACCAAATACACCGAATACACTGGCAGATACTTCGTATCGTCCCAGACACGCTTTAACGTCGAGAGAAGCCACGTAATATATTCAATTCTTCTCGGTCTGTTAAAATCTTCACTCCGCTTTTTCTTTTCTTCATTCAAGCGTAATAAGATATTTCTTATTAGAGAACGTATGATTTTCGCGTCGCAATGAGCGTACTCGCGCACGCATTTTCCACGTTATGCGTTATTGCAGCCGCTTCATGTTAAAAGCTGTAAAATTGGAGTTTTACAAATTGTACCGTATAATTAAATTTGCATGGGAATTTTACGAGAGTTTACGCCTCGCAGCGAAAATTAAACGTCGATGTGCAAATGATATCCCTGCGTATATTTGCAATCGGCGAACGCGACGGATTTTGTATGCGATGCAATAGCCGAGCGCTCGTATGGTCGGATAATCCCATTCCCGTTTGAGGGCGGACACGCCGCTTTTCCCATCGCAGCCACTCGCTTAACTTTGCGAAAGTCAGCGGCGGGAGACGAGACTAGGAAGTGAAAGAAGAAGAAGAAGAAGTAGTAGTAGATAGACCGGCGCGGGGAGGAGAGGACACGGAAAGCCTTCGATTCTTCTTTCGCTCTCATGCGTTTGTTTACAGAGGACCTCGATAGAAGGTGGCTGGTACGGAACGAGGGTACAGGACCTCGGTAGCAGGAAGGGGAGAAGGATCCGGAGCGGAGGGATCGTAACAGAAAAGTACCTGGGGTAGACGTGCGAAGAGCGAGACGAGAGGTCGCGAAGGAAAGAAACGAGCCGAAGTGGTGAAGAAGGAGGATGAGGGGGGGAGGGGGGCAAAGAAAAAAAAGGATTCGAGAATTCTCGAAGCGAAGAGTCGAGTGGTTGGGTGGTCGAATAATAGAGCTGCCCTTAATACCGTCATCCCCGCGCTATCCCCGGGTTAAACGAGGGAAGAGGTCGGCGGAGGAAGCAGCGCCACGAGAGAGAGAGAGAGAGAGAGAGGGGGGGGGGGGGGCGGCGGTGGTAGCGAAGGACGAGGCCGGTGAGGAGAGGGGTGGAGGGGCCCAGAGGGGTCAGGATGGTCGCTCGTGGTTCGTGTGCCGCCGCTGCCGCCGCCACCGCCGCCGCCGCCGCCGCCGCCG